CTCTTACAATGCACTTCTTCAACTGGAAATCAGCTCAGCTACCTAGAAAACCCTTCCAGTGATGAAACGTTCCCCCTGTCCTGCTCATTGATAAAGGTGTTAAACAGAACTGGCCCTAATACTGAGCCCTGGGGAACACCACTTGTGACTAGCACACTGCTTCAAGTCTCTTAGGCAAGCTGGGAGATCACCTTCTGAGTACTGACTACAAGGGAAACCCTAACTCTGTTGAAACCAATAGGGCTTGGCTGTTGGCCTTAAAGGAGCTGGTAGTTAAGTCCCTTTTGGGTTAGCAGCATAGTAAAGTATTTGTTATAGAAATGAGTCCACAATCACCGTTTGGACCACGAGCTTTCACTTGTAGCTTGAATTGCTTCACACAAGATGCTGCCTCTAGAGCCCATTTACCTGGGTAGATTAATCAGTGAAGACCTTTGACAAGCAGCTGTCAAACAGCCTGAGAGACAGCATGGGGGTGGCAGGCACAGGGGAGGTAATGCCATGGTTGTGGTTGCTCCTCGGTATGCTCTGTTACACTCTCTGATGGAGATGCAGCTTCTGCATCTGAGCACAACTGCATGGAGCTCCCCACACGCTGATCTCTTTGGGGAGCCTCACTGAAGGGACAGGATCTACTCACAGCACAGCTCTGCTATGCAGGGAAAGAGATGAGTGATCTCCTGAAGCACCATCTGGGGCACTGGGATTTCTCTGCAGGAAGCTCCTTGCAGGACTGTGAACTGTGTCTATATTACATTTAGCACAAGAACTCGTCCTGAATGGGACCCTTGGGCATTGATGCACTGGAACAATTAAATAATGGTAGTAATAAAACTTCCTACACACCCGTGTGCGTTTCATGCATGCTGAGATGGCATCATAAGTAAAGCAGCTCTTCCACCTTGTGGTTAGGCAGCGTTTATACACCAAAAATCACAGACTGCTCTGAATACCGCTGTTAAACAGATCCAGCGCGCAGAGCTATAGCTATCACAGGACCCCTCTTGCAGCCCAGTGCCACAAACATTAACTAGCCCTATTTTGTAAGATGAATGTGTACACACTTCTACATGTGTGTGCAAACTAATAGGTCTGTAATGCCCTCTAGTGATCCCAACCACGGATGCTATGAGACCTGGTATAAGAACATTTGGGGTGCTTCCTTTATTCTCCTTGGCAAAAAAAGGCCTTTATTCAATGCAACGGGCACGCTGATAGCATGTAGTGATGTGGGAACAGAGTATGAGCATGTCCCCGATGTGGAAACCATCAGAGATGGTAGCCAGTTTCTGCAAGCAATGCCACTAGAATCAAAAGGAACTACTTGATGGCAGGGAAAAATTCACCTATTCTTCCCTCCCAGTCTCTATTTCCTGTTTTTTTTTCCTCTGGCTATTGAAGCAATCATATGTTTTTTGTTGTTTGCATCAAGGCACAATTCAGCACAACTGAGTCCAGTGTCGGTAGTCAGCTGCCACAGAGTGAAGCCCGATTTCAAAGCAGTAATTAAAAGTCAACTTTGTGCTGATGCAACAGAGGTATAATGAGATACATCATTTTCCAGTGAATGCTGAAGATGTGCACTGTGTGAAACAGTGGCACACACACACTGCCTAACAAACTTCAGAGCATCAATGAATACTGATGCCTTTAATGATCCTAAATTGCACTATATCCAAAGCAGGATTAGTGTGGATATATGAGGCACTGATTTGGTGCAAAGACAAATAGCAAAACATGCAAAGAGCAAGCTGTTTATCATCTATGTCTGCTTCTCAGATGTTGCTGTTCTCTAAAGAGCAGTTTATTGATCACACGCAACCCTCCTCACCATCACCATTCCAGTTGTACCAGCTGGCATCAGTCTAATCCGAGTCCTCTCGCGGTGCTTCCTAAACACAGTGCAAAAATCATCTCTAGTGATCAAATGCCTTTTTTGTCACTCAGACAACAATTGGCTGCCAAAATGGTTCCCCAGAATAAACTGTCAAAGTCAGGGAGCCGCATCAGGACAGAAGCTGACCCAGTGTTTCACACAGCTTTACTGCAATAACTCCCAATATCCGTCTTCAGTTTCTTTTGCACTGCTGTTGTGCAGCCACGGCTGATGGTACAAAGGAGTTGAATTTGGCTCCTCTCTATGTATCTTTTTACTTCAGTTGGCAAACCAGGTTTTTTTCACTGGAAGGTCCTAAGAAAGCTCGCTTTCATCAAGCGTTATTTCTACCTAGAATTGCATTCAGGTGGTAAATTTTAGCTGTAGGACTGCACCCGAGTGTGAAGTTGAGACCCTGACTGGACAAAATAGGGATGTAAGCAAAACCATGGGTTTTTAGCTTCGTGTCTAAGTAGTCAATCCTATGTAATTCAAGGTTTTCTTTTTACAGTAGGAAAACAAATTATCTTATTGTCTAAAGTTATTTTTAAAACCAGCAGGAACTCAAGCAGTGACCAGAAGGTCGAAGGAGGTAATTCTGCCCCTCTACTCTCATGAGACCTTGCTTGGAGTATTGTGTGCAGTTCTGGTGTCCTCAATGTAAAAGGGACGTGGAACTGTTGGAACAAGTCCAGAGGAGGCCACGAGGATGATCAGGGACTGGAGCACCTCCTGTATGAAGACAGGCTGAGGAAGTTGGGGCTGTTCAGCCTGGAGAAGAGAAGGCTGCGTGGAGACCTCACAGCAGCCTTCCAGTATCTGAAGGGGGCTATAGGGATGCTGGGGAGAGACTCCTCATTAGGGACCGTGGTGACAAGGTGTAACGGGTTAAAACTTAAACAGGGGAGGTTTAGATTGGATATAAGGAAGAAGTTCTTTACTATAAGGGTGGTGAGGCACTGGAATGGGTTGCCCAGGGAGGTTGTGAATGCTCCATCCCTGGTGGTGTTCAAGGCCAGGTTGGACAGAGCCTTGGGTGACATGGTTTTGTGTGAGGTGTCCCTGCCCATGGCAGGGGGCTGGAACTGAGTGATCTTAAGGTCCTTTCCAACCTTACCAATCCTATGATTCTAAGTGAGCCATGCAAAGAATGACAGTCCATTCAATACTTTTACCTATTCTTATAGCACAGATAAAGGCTACTAGCACAAAACCCACCTGTGACTATCCCACAAAGCCAGTTTTTAAGGGCAGACTGATCACTGTGTAAGGGAGATAGACTGAGACCCTAGAAGACTGACATTATGTCTTTGTCAAAAGGGCAATTACAATAGGAAGAGTAGATTGACAAGCTTCCCCTCAGACTCTTTCAAAAATGCCTGAGCTTGATACAGAGATAACACCTTTGACAACTTCAGTCTTCATTCATCTCTTCTAGCATCGGATGTCTAAAATATAGTATCTAGTCTGAAGTGGTCCCCTTAGTTCCCACTATAATCGATAGAGATGGTTACCTTCAGAGGATGATTCATCTAATCTGAAATTAGATGTGTAAAATAGGTAGAGGATTTCTCCAGAGGTGTCCACTTGTATCAACACTGACCATAGAGATTGTAGACAGACACCTCACTTCCAAAGGGCTAAAAGCCCTTAGATGAGCCATTTAGATAAGGATAAAGCCATGTTACACTTTCTACCATAGCAGCGAGCAGGCAACAGTGTTGTTACCAACACCTCCCACAATAATTTACCTTATTTTAATGAATTCTGCAAATTTTGGTATTTCATTGCATGCTTCTACCACCCATTCCCTGGATCACTGCTGTTTCTTCCTTGCCCAGCCTTCCACAAAACCACTGCTTCCTTCTCCACCTTATCAGCTCTGATACACCAGGCACAGTGCCCACATTAGTAAGTCAAATCAGCTCTGCAGGACAGCATGTCAGTAGGAAAGCAGCTGCTTTCTCTCTAATGAGAAATGGGTGGGTTAGAACCAGTTTTGGTAAATCGAATGTTCTGACATAAGCTGCTTTGGACAAGAGCTAATACATTCTCATACCCATTGGTATATGTTTTCAAGAACTTCTAGAGGAGATGGATGGTTTCAGAATGCATTCTGAAGGGGAATCAGGACTGGAATTGGGACTACCTTCCTACGGACCAGATGATTCCTGAAGTCCCTTCCAACCTGGTATTCTACAATTCTATAATTCTAGTTGCTTGGAAAAGTAGGGATCAGATAATCAAACAAAGCATACCTAAGTCCCTGGAAAATAGCAGGGAGATTTGGGCTCTATAGATATAACGGAGCCTGTACACTGATTCTATTTGCTTTATATTAATGCTTGTCAATGTTTTTCTCTTTTCTCTAACTTCTGCTTACCTTTTATTGCAGATAAAATATATATATTTATATATATTTATACTGTACTATTATATATATTTATATATATATATATATTATGTATATTTTTATATATACACACACACACAAAGGGCTGGAAAGCCCCAAGGGCATTAGTGACTCTCAGAAGGAAACCCCTTCAGCAGTGGTTCAGTGTAAGCATATCACTTGCTGGTGCTCCCAGGTGATAGAGGGATGCTCAGTGACACGCACTGCTGTACCATGACTTCTTGGCACGCAGCTCGGTGTTTCACGTTTAATGTTTCACACTCTATTAGTAGCCCAGCTGGGCCTGGGTGCATTAAACCCCGGCTCAAGTGTGACTGTGTGGCACCCCCGGCTGCGTTCTGTGTGCACGGGGAGTTTCTTCCTGCTGAGAACAGCCCAAAACATTCCGTTATAAAAAACACAAAGGCAGAAAATCGATTTTAAAGCGTTTATTTGTAAATTTATCTGTCCCTTTCAATAGCCCACAACCCCATACCTGAACCTCGCTAAGGTGTGAGCCGAGACAGGCAAGACTACAACTCCCAGCAAGCTGCGCGCCACTGCTGTCATCTGATTGGTTGCCCTGTCCCGCGGGGAGCCAATAAGGATCAGGGGACCGCTTTGGGGGGTGTGGCTCGCTCTGGCAGCAGTGCATGATGGGAGTTGTAGGCGCTTTGCCGTCTCTGCGGCGGAGGGTGGCTGTCGCTGGGGCACAGCGCTTGCGCAGTGGCGGCGTGCGGCGGTCGCGGCGCGTGGCAGGAAGCGGAAGGGGGCGGCCGAGCCCGGTGCCTGACGTGTCCCTGTGAGGCCGCTGCCCGCGCTGCTGCTCCCGTCCGGCGGCCGCCATGGGCAGTGAGTACCGGGCTCCTCGGCCGGGGGCGGCTGCCGGGGGAAGGGAGGGGGTAGGAGGGGACTGGGGTCTCCGCGGGGCCGCGGCTCGGCCACCGGCTGCGCTTTCACAGGTACCGTGGGACGGGCCCCTCTCCCTGGGAGTCTGTCTGAGGGGCCGCCGCTCAGCGCGGAGGCCGCAGGCCCTCACTCAGGGCCCTCGGAGCTGGCCACGTTGTCGGTGCGCCCTGCGCGGGTCTCCCTTCCTCTGGGTTCGAGGCTTCCCCTGGGTTTTTAATTCATTCACTTTCATGGCAAGACCCGTTTCCTGGCTATGGCAGATCGTGCTGGGAAGGGAGCTTGCTCCCTGATGCCTGGTGACCGGCCTGCTCTGCCTGGCAGGCTCTTAGGGCCCGGCCGTCCGGGGCTCGCTGTGCTGATGCTGTACGAGGCAGGGAGAGGTGCGCTGTCCAGCTGGGGATTGGTCATAACGCGTTCAGTGGCCTTGCCAGAGCAAGCTAGGAACAGTGGGTGCAGGTTAGAGTAAGCTGAGTGAATGGAAGGCTTCAGAGGCTGCTCCTTGAGGAAGAGCTGCTTGAAAAGCATCTTAGTATAGTATTGTAGATGTAGGATTGTAGATTGTAGTTTGATTTAAATTTAAACCCACAATCCAGTGTAACTGTACAGGCCATTGATCAATTTAAATTAAGTAAATAATTTTTATGGACTGGTTTTAAAATGTTATGAAATTGCATCTGAAGCTGCTGCCGTCCATAGTGAATCCCAGACTGGTTTGTGTTGGAACCTTAAAGCTCCTCCAGCTCCAACTCCTGCCACAGGCAGGGACCCCTTCCACTAGAGCAGGGTGCTCCAAGCCCCTGTGTCCAACCTGGCCTTGAGCACTGCCAGGGATGGGGCAGGCACAGCTTCTCTGGGCACCCTGTGCCAGCGCCTCAGCACCCTCACAGGGAAGAGCTTCTGCCTAAGAGCTCATCTCTGTCTCCCCTCTGGCAGCTTAAAGCCATTCCCCTTGTCCTGTCCCTACAGACCCTTGTCCAAAGCCCCTCTCCAGGTTTCCTGTAGCCCCTTTAGGCACTGGAGCTGCTCTCAGGTCTCCCCTTAAGGAGCCTTCTCTTCTCCAGCCTGACTCAGCCCAACTCTCTCAGCCTGGGTCCAGAGCAGAGCTGCTCCAGCCCTCGCAGCATCTCCATGGCCTCCTCTGGACTCGCTCCAACAGCTCCATGTCCCTCTTGTGTTGTTGCCCCAGAGATGGGTGCAGGACTGCAGGGGGGGGTGTCTCACGGCAGCAAGTAGAGGAGGGAAGTGAGAAGTCACCAGTAGTTTCTGTTCTGCATCATCATACTCTTTTAGTTCAAATGAGTCCAAAATATGTGTGCAGTCTTAGATTTACCTTGAGAAGTTTTGCATTAACTATTCAAAATCATATCTCTTGGCTCTCAGGAGAACTTGTGACTTTGCAGATGCCCTCTTCTGTCGTATGCTAATTCTAAGCTGGAGACTTCCCTGATCTGAGGGTGTGTCTTGTTCACTAGGAGATCATTGTTTGTTATATCTGTGTGTTCACTTTGTCTTTTAACTTATTTCCATACAGTCAAATTTCTTGAAGTAATCAAGCCCTTCTGTGTTATCTTGCCTGAAATCCAAAAGCCAGAACGGAAGGTAAGGGAATAAATTTTTCTTCATAGCTTTGTATTTGTACAATATAAAAGGTTTATACTTTAGTTTGTATTTGAGGGTTTTGTTTGGGTTTTTTTTCCTGGGAGAATGGCAGGTTTAGGCACAGTTGTTTTTAGTGCAGTGCTTGTCTTGTTTATCCTGTACTGGGGATATGGTTGTACAAGAGCGTATCTGCTGGTAAATGCAGTTGTGCAGGTATGGTTGTGCCTTAGCAGTGAGATGCTGAAAGCAGGGCATACTGGGGTGTAAATGAGATTAGTTTAAAATAGCATCTTGCTTCATAAGTTCTAATCTAAGATTCTGTTAGGAGAAGCTTCTCTGTATTACCTTTCTTCTCACCAGAAGCTCTTTCTTATGAAAATATAGGACTCATTTCTGTGGAAGTACCAGAATTACCTTCCATTGACATCAGCTTGTTTACCTGGATTAAAGTTTCGGGAAAGTTTTGTCATTTTCTTTGGCCTTGTATAGGAGGCCTTGGAATAAAAGGGATGAACAGTATTCATCACTTGTATAAAGGGGATGAACAGTGAGTTATTTCCTTTAGGATGTTCTGTACTTTGTCCCTTCACAAGAAAATCAAGTGTGCTTTAGCTGCAGTGAAAGTTTGCCTGATTGACTAGATCTTGTTATCGTGACAGCTTTAGCATCTTTGCTTGTTGGTTTTCCCCCTTTAGATTCAGTTTAAGGAAAAGGTGCTCTGGACAGCTATCACGCTCTTCATCTTCTTAGTATGCTGCCAGGTACGTTTCTTTCTTGTGTTCTTAAGGAAGAGCTGAAATGTTTAAAGGATGTTATGAAGTCTCTAATTTAATCCTGTTTTCCTCTCTTGGTTGGAAATGCAGATTCCCTTGTTTGGTATTATGTCATCAGACTCAGCAGATCCATTCTACTGGATGAGAGTGATTTTGGCATCAAATAGAGGTATGGTCAGTCTTTCAGGTTTTTTTGTCTTTTTCAGCTTGAATCAGAACATTTCTGGACTCATTCCTATGCTGCACTTATTTTAATGAAGATAAAAACTGCAGCAGAGAGGAAAAAATCATCTATTATGTAAAATTATAAAGCAGTGTGGCATTGGGAAAGCCACAGCTTTGTGGACAGAATGATATGGTTGGCTGTGTACAGTCTGTTATATGTCCAGAAATCAAGGAGCATTTTGTAGGGAAGCGACAGTTCCTAATTACCTTGCTTTGCTGCTGTTGCAATCTTTCATATGTATTTCAAGCCTTCTGATTAGTGTTTCAAGCCATGTTATACGGGTGTTGTGGTTTTCTGGGTCACATCTTGGAGTCTGTCTTGCAGAATAAAATTCATGATGGTTTGTATAAATTTCAGAGGCTTCCTAATGCAGGTGTGAGTTAAGAGTGTGACATTATTTTCTTTCCCTGTTCTTCCTGTGTCTGGCAGGTACGTTGATGGAGCTGGGCATTTCACCCATTGTCACTTCTGGGCTCATCATGCAGCTCTTGGCAGGTGCTAAGATAATTGAAGTTGGTGACACCCCAAAGGACAGAGCCCTCTTCAACGGAGCACAGAAATGTGAGTAATGGCTGATGTTAAAGGCTGATGGCTTAGAGTAACTGTGTTCATTTTATAAATGACTTCTAAAAACACTACTCACTGATCTGTTCACTGGAAAAAAGAATCATAAATTACCAAAACCATGGTGCTATTTTAACAGCTTCAGAGTTTTCTTTACCCAGAGCAATCTTTGGTAACCAAACCCACTTGCTTCTAAGTGTATTTGTTGCTGAAGTGTTTGTGTCTGTATTTTCAGTGCCAGATTTCAGACAACAAACTTAACAAGCCCTTGATTTTAAATATCCTGTGACTTCGGTATTCCTTCCCAGCTTTACTCCACAAAGAAGTGATTCATATTCTCTATAATTACCCACTGATGTAAATCTCCAGAACAAATACATACTTTCTGTTTTTTATTCTGCAGTGTTTGGAATGATCATTACCATTGGACAGTCTATTGTGTATGTAATGACTGGGATGTATGGAGACCCATCTGAGATGGGTGCTGGCATCTGCCTGCTTATCACAATTCAGGTAATTTCTAGTCCTTTCTACTTACTCCCCCTCTGAAAGGGTCAAAAATATCAGCCTTATGAGCTGTCTGTCCTGCATGCAGAGAAGAAAGATCAAAGTGTTCGTGTTTCCTCTTATATTTTAGTACAAGTTATTCTTTTAACAAAAACTAAAAAGGGATGGGACTAATGCTGTGTTTCTCTTCTTTTACTGTAGCTTTTTGTGGCTGGGTTGATAGTTCTGCTCTTGGATGAGCTTCTACAGAAAGGGTATGGTCTTGGTTCTGGCATCTCTCTCTTCATTGCTACCAATATCTGTGAGACTATAGTGTGGAAAGCCTTCAGCCCCACCACGGTGAACACAGGACGAGGTACATGGCACAGTCTGTTTTCTTTATAGAAAATCTTGTACAAAAGACAAAAGTCTTTTTTTTGGCCATGTGTAAACTTAAATGGCAAATGCTGTTACTGACAACTTTAAAAAAATCTTGGAAATAACATAGCTGCTATAAGGGATAATGGTAGTAAAAGTCTGAGAGCATACTCGAGATGCATAAGAGTTGGAGAAATCCTAACTCCGAATCCTGTAGGTCAGAAGTTTGCCTTATGGGACAAAGTGCTGATGAATGGAGATAGTCACAGCACACCTGACTTGGTTTTTCTTGTTCTTTCCAAGGCATGGAATTTGAGGGAGCAATCATTGCTCTGTTCCATCTTCTGGCTACTCGTACAGACAAAGTCAGAGCCCTTCGAGAGGCCTTTTACCGTCAGAATCTCCCCAACCTTATGAACCTGATTGCTACCATCTTCGTCTTTGCTATTGTAATTTACTTCCAGGTCAGTTGGAATAAAAAGGACTGTGAAACTGTTTGTGTGGAAGTAGAACTGCAGTCTGCTTCCTTGTACAAGAAATTATAGTTTCACTTTCTAGTGCCTTCAGAAGACTCATTTTTATACCTGCAACATGTGGATGTTCATTTAACATGGGCTTCTCTTAATGATTTCCACATTTACTATAGCCACACAAAAGACTTGAGACCTGCTGTGGTCTCTGAAAGAGAACAAACCCAAACCAACAAATAGATGAATGTACATGTAATATTGCCTAACCCAGACTTTGAGGTCTTTAAACCTGTGTGTCCCTTGCTGTTTGTTGCAGCAAGCTGCTGAAGAGCAAAGGAAGTTTTAGTGTTTCTTTTCCTGGATACTACATTCAGTCTTTGCTTCATTTATGACCTGTGGTATCGGTTCATGCCCAGACTTAACAGGGGACTTTGTTTTGAAATCTTTTCAGGGCTTCAGAGTTGATCTTCCCATCAAATCTGCTCGCTACCGTGGCCAGTACAACACCTACCCCATCAAGCTGTTCTATACTTCCAACATTCCCATTATTCTTCAGTCTGCCCTGGTGTCCAACTTGTACGTCATCTCCCAGATGCTTTCTGCTCGCTTCAGTGGCAACTTACTGGTTAGCCTGCTGGGCACTTGGTCTGTGAGTATTCCTTCTACTCTTGCATACAGCTTTATAAGAGCGCTATTAAAAGGCATGGTTAAAGATGTGGTCTCTCTCTAGATATTAAGGCACATTTCTACAGGTGATCATGTATGCTGAAACTCTGAAATCTGAGACCTGATGTGATCTGTGTAGCTGTCAGGTCTCCTTTTACCTTGGGCTGGTCTTTGCTGTCCTGGATATTTTTGCTGTTCATTGTTGTGTTCCATTTCTACTTTTTTTACTGCTTGTGACAGTAAAGTTGAATCTTTGTCTGCTGCTGTAGTAGTAATGACAGTGACATGAAGGTGATACAAACCCAGGCTTAGCTTTAAGGCTAAGAAATAGCAGGAAAGATGGTGACTGTTTGCTTCCTTCTTTTAGGACACATCATCTGGAGGTCCTGCTCGTGCTTATCCAGTTGGTGGTCTTTGTTATTACCTGTCACCTCCAGAGTCCTTTTCTTCAGTGTTAGAAGACCCTGTACACGCAGTTGTCTACATTGTATTTATGTTAGGCTCCTGTGCTTTCTTCTCCAAGACGTGGATTGAAGTCTCTGGCTCCTCTGCCAAAGATGTAAGTTTAAAATGATAAATTGTGTAAGCTTACATGATGAAAACAGGTAAAGGGGGTAGTTTTTTCCTTGTTTTCTTTACTGATTTTTCAAAATCAACAACAAAACTGAGAAGAATTGCTTTCATTGGCAGTCTTTGAACATTGCTATGTAGCATCTGCTCAGTGTGAGGACAGGCAAGGTAGCAGGAAAGGTAGAAACTCTTTCAGCATCAAATGACAGATGCACCATGTGCAAGGCAGTTACCAGTTAAGAATGTGCAGGTAAAGCTTTGAATTCCCATGCCTGGCATAGGGAGTTCTTAACTTCTTTAGGGGAAGGTTAACAAGAGACTTATTTTTAACTTGAGAGTGCTGGTAACAGGGAATCTAGGGCAGTGCACTGATGTACCTGGGCCTGGCTTCTCAAAATCCCAGTTTGCTGCACAATACTTGCTATTCAACAGCCGTATCATTCTGAAATTGGAACTGGAAACAAAGATGGAAAATAGTTGTCATCATGGTATGTTTGTATTGTGTGGTTTTGGGTAGGAAATCAAGTTTGGCAGCCATGTGGAATAGATTCATCCATTCTTTAACAAACATGTAATAGTTGCACAGTTACTGTAACAGTGTGAACACTTTTGTTTTGGACTTGAGCATAGCTGCTTGTTGTCAGGCATGCAGGAGGCACTACTCACAGCCATGTATAGCCAGATCTTCATTTCAGCATAAACCATCATGCAGCTTTTAACACTTTCATGTAATTTCCTGATACTGAGTAAAATCATTTTCACTTCATGTAAACAAGATCAAAACCAAAAATCAATAGATCATTACTTAAATGTTCACTATGTAGTGGAAAACTGGAAGCTTGATCATCTGAAAGGTGTTCTCTCAGTACAGTAGGTTCTGTGACAAGCACCTTCAGGAGTTCTCCTGCTAGAGTTTGTAACCCTCAGTTGTTAGTAAAACGTGTGCAGGGCTCTGCTGTAACCCTGTACAGCTGCAGAAATCCAATCTAAGAATGATGTTCCAAGAAAAGAGTCTTTCTAAGGCATGTAGCTTCTATTGGAAACTGAAATGGAGTGGGCACTTCATAGGATGGTTTTGCTAACATGGTAAACCCTGACCAGGAGAAGGGTAGGTGGCAAAACAGGAATTTGGGGTATATGAGAACTTACCAATTTCCAGATCTTTCTTTTCCTAACAGGACTGGATTTATCCAAAAAGCTTTGCATCATTGACAGTGTGGGAAAGTGCCTGTGACTACAAATCTGTCTGAAGTTAAAATATTGAATGTTTTAAACATAATATAAAAAAAAAAACAAACCAAAACCCCCAAACCAAATACCAAAAATAAAAATCCCAAAGCCATCACCATTTACTGCTTCTGTTTTCCTGGAGCGCTGAATTCTGTGGTCTTGGGAAATGATGCCAAACTGACTTGCTCCATTCCTTGATTCAATACAGGTTGCCAAACAGCTGAAAGAACAGCAAATGGTAATGCGAGGCCACAGGGAAACTTCAATGGTACATGAACTAAACAGGTAAGCTACACACTTCACAGGCTGCTTGTGCAGAGTGTTGTTGGAGTGTACTACTTCAGGCTGATGCGCAAGGATTTCCTAATCATAGAATGGCTAAGGTTGGAAAGGACCTTAAGATCATCTAGTTTGTAATTTTTAATGTGGTGTTGTCTTGAGTACTGTTTTTACACAGACTTTACCTAATACATTAGCACTGTTGTGTGATCCTTATCTTTGTTCTTGGGTAAGAGAAGGGCCACAAAGACAATCCAGGGACTGGGCAGCTGTATGAGTAAAGGCTTGAGAGCTGGGACTGTTCAGCTTGGAGAAAAGAAGACTCGGGGGAGACCTTATCACCATATTCCAGTATTTAAAGGGTGACTAAAAGGAAGATGGAGACTCCCTTTTTATAAGGAGTCACATGGAAAAGACAAGGGGCAATGGGTACAGCTTACTCCTGGGGAGATTGACTGGACACAAGGGGAAAATCTTTCATACTGAGAATGATCAGCCATTGGAATAATCTCCCCAGGGAAGTGGTGGTTACCCTGACATTGGACACTCAAGATTCAGCTGGACAGGGTGCTGTCTAGGTCATGCTTTGCCTAAAGAGATGATCCTTTAGGTCCCTTGTGACCTGGGATTCTGTGATTCTATGAATTTAGATCATGGGAGAAGAGAGTGTTCTGCCACTGACTTTTCTCCACTTGTGTAGTTCTTGGGTTTTTTAATCACCTGGTTAGATAATCTGTGTTCTTCTGTTCTCAGTGGGATTGTTTCTTAAACCCTGCCTCCGATGTAGATACTTCCTGTAGACCCCAAATACCACTAACCCTAGTATAGTTGTTAACATCCTGAGCAAATACTAATGGCACCTCTTCTGTCCCTGTTTTGTGTCTCACAGGTACATCCCTACAGCTGCTGCATTTGGTGGTCTGTGTATCGGTGCCCTGTCTGTGTTGGCAGACTTCCTGGGGGCAATTGGATCTGGAACTGGAATTCTGCTGGCTGTCACTATCATTTATCAGTACTTTGAGATCTTTGTAAAGGAACAGAGTGAAGTTGGCAGTATGGGAGCTCTGCTTTTCTAACCTCACGGACCCAGGCTCGGGGGGGAGGAACCTTCTCAAACATAGCCAGTCAGGTGAAAAGGAGTACCACAAACTTGGTAATGTCATTCTCTAGGAACATAGGTTTTAATAATGTTTCCAAAGCACATTCCCTTATGTTAAACTTTTCTAGCATCCTGTTGGCATTTTATAAATCCATGAGGAAAAAATGTGCAAAAAAAAAGAATTTTTTTAAAGAAACTTCTTTTTTAATGATATGTCAGGAGCATCAGCTGCTCAATTGGGTTTAGTTCAGTGACTCTTGGGATTTTTTGAGCCCCTTTCAGATTTAGGATACCTGAAGCCTTTCCAGGTTTTAATAATAAATGTTTGTTAAGTGGATGTTTGGAAGAAGGGATTTTGTTTCCATGTAACTTGGTTTTGCAGCTCCATTGCAGCAGTGGTGAGACAAAATCTCTCCCTCTTAACGCTCAAGTTCCTTAATTATGGTTGTAAGCACGAACAGTGTTTCAGATGTTCAGTTCTGTGTTTGCGTTGGGGTTTTATTTTCAGTATGGCAGATTTGGGAGGCAGTTGTTTCTTTTTACTAAATGATAGCTCTAACTCCTAATGTTTTGTCTTGTACTAACTATGCTAGACCCTCTCAGATGTGGGGTATTGGCTGGAGACTGTTGTCACGTGTCCTTTCCCATCACCCTCCTCTGCAAGCAGAAAACTCAGGTCAATCTAGATCCTGCCAGAGCCTGTGCCTCAGAGTTGCAGCTTTGAACCTTGCTCACGCTGGCAGCTTTGTAAAACCTTCTCATTCATTTCACTGCCATCATTGGTAGCACTCCTGTTGCCAGAAGGGGAAAGTGTGGCTGCTTAGGCACAGACCTGCTCGTGCTCTTTGCTGAAGCTGGGTTTCTCTCACTGATAATAAATCCTGGTCTTGTAGCAATCAGGATTATTACCTGACTACTCGTACCTAGTGAAGTTTGAGTCTGGTTACCACAAAGGAGTGTGAAAAGGATGTATGTGTTACTTGTCTGTTTCTGTGGATATAGCTGCGAGACCCTTGTCAGGTAACTTGTAGGTCGCTTGTAGAGAAGGCTTTTCCACCCTGTAATCTCATTGAATGATGTACAGCAAATTACTTTCAGAAGGTATTGGGACTCCTTTTCTGAAGATCACACTTTTGACATTGAAGAAGTTACAGTAAAAGGCTTGCATGGACCAGAATAATACTTAATTTTCCATTTTGATTTCAATTGTCAGTACTAATCAGGTGCCTGGGACCAAATGCAAATATTGTCTATGAGTCTTGTAAGTAGTCAGTATTGGACAACATGGAAACCAGAATGAGGAGCTGTGATGCTGGAATGTTTCTCGGCGCTGCATCCTCATGCCTGCTATGCCCTTTGGCATGTGGGGCTGGCACTATATGAGTTACCATTTGTGCTTGGAGTGATGGGACTCTGTTACGTACCCAAGGAGCAGAGACAACATCCAGAAGCCCTTGTTGATGCACTGAGCTCAAATACCAAATGCATGAGGATCACAATTGGATAGGAACAAAAGTATGGGGATACAGTAGCTGTGAAATGCTCACTACCACCCATTCATTGTTACTTCACACTACATTCAGTAACGTTTCTGCCTTTCATTAGGTAGGAGTAACCCATAGCACAATTTTGACATGGAATAAGGAACAGTTAAAAACTGACTTTCAAAGGCACGGGCAGGAGCAAGGGGTGGGGGTTCTGCTTTTGGGCCACAGCTCTGGCTGGGCTGGAGCTGGGCTTGTGTGCTTGGTCACATCATCTGTCTGGCCCGGGTGCAGTTTAGACCATCAGCCCGTCAGGGTCTAAGCAGCACTTGTTCTATGCATCAGTGTTCCTGTCTTGTGGTGAAGTCTTTGTCTGTCCTCGAGCAGCTCTGTCCTCAAAGCAGGACCTGCTCCTCCTGAAGTGGATGTTCACAGAAAGAAATGATGCCGAAACAATCTGCTTTATAATGAAATAAAGTACCTCTTTGGAGCTAACCTGTGGCTTGTGGTGCTTTCAATACCTTACACCTCGAACACTTGTACAGTAACCTTGCCCTGTGAAAGTGGTCCCTCTCAAAGCAGCGGGTCAGAGTCTCAATGTGAAATAAAGACTCCAAGGTCTCTCAGCGGGAGGTTGCCAAAGTAACAGAACCTGACCCATTCCTCTGTGCTTTCCTCTTCCATAGAGGTGCAGTTCAGAGGGCTCTGCACGAGCAAATAGTGGGAGAGTGAAGTAATGAAGGATCAGTTTAACATAAATTGTATTTCTGTATGGAATACGGTGCCAATCTTTTCGTAGCAGGATAGTAACAGGACCTTAACTGAAACAGCAAAACTCAAAGCTGATGATAATCCTAATAGTGTGTGAGGTTTTGAACTTGGAATAAGGAAAAACGTGTTCCTCCTGAATAGAAATACCGGATACAAGAAGTCCAGCCACAATTTTGGTCGTGTATGAGGTTTTAAACAACAGCTCAATTCCTTCCTTGCTTTTTTTATTCCTCCCCGAGAAGTTTAATAACTGTGATTGCTGTGGCAGTATTTATGTCATCACACAAATGAGAAGCAGTTGAAGTCACTGGGGGTGGGACGAGTTACCCACAGGACAGCCAGGTGAAAACACTGCCCCGTCTGAGATCCTCCTGCTTGCGGTAGTATTTTAAGTGCGGAATTCTTTGTTACAGCCTTTTCTTCTGCACTGCAGATCCATGTGAAAGCTTCTCCCAGAGCACCGGAGTGCTGAGGCTGTGGTTTTTGTCCCTGTCGCTGTCAGGAAGCCTTAAAAAAACACAGAACCCCGAGCTGGTTTGTGTTGGACGGCACCTCGAAGCTCATCCAGTTCCCTGGCAGGGACACCTTCCACTAGACCAGGTTGCTCCAAGCCCTGTGCAGCCCAGCCTGCGCTCTGAGCAGGCTGTGATTTGTGGCAGAGATTTCTCAGCCAGCTTGCGCTAAAGGAGCAGCCGAGTGGCCTCATAACTGCTTTTCCTGACTCTCTCTTGCAGCAAGGAATTACGAGCTTTAGCTGGCCTCCGAGTTTATCACAGCCTTGGGGAGCTCCGTGCAGGTGTTGGAAGCTCTTTGCTTACGGAGTTGCCGTGGCACAACTGACAGGTCCCCGCTCGGCCCTCCCTGCCCGGGAACGCTGAACCTGCTCCCCGAGGAGCGGCCGCATCCCTCGCACGGCCGCGGTGGCTGCAGGGGGTATCCCCGGTGAGGATGAGCGCCTTCACCGGGCAGGGACACGCTGCCGTTCCCGCTGCCTGCCGGGCCCCGCTCCCGGCTTTGTGACGCGGAGCGCGGCCACCGCCAGCCCCCTGCCCGCGAAGGTCGCGGTTTGAAGCGCGGCCGGGAGCCCGCTCGGTGCAATGCCCGCTTGCGGAGGGGGGTCTGGGTCTGGGTCTGGAGCAGCCCCCGCGCAGGATGGGCACCGAGGGAGCCTTTGCCCGCCTGGTGGCAATGTTACGCTGCGATTCGAGGCGCAGGTCAAGGCGGTTTGGATCAGGGGCGTGCGCGTTAAATCTGTTCCAAATGTGGGCTCCCGCTTCCCCTTCGCTGCTGCGCTGGGAGGGGGGGCTTCGCACTGAGGAAAGGGTTGGGGACGTCCTAGGAGCGGGGCCAGGCTTGGGGATGGTTTAGGCGGTGGCTGCCCCATCCCTGGCACTGTTGGACGGGGCTTGGAGCAAGCTGCTTTAGTGGAAGGTGTCCCTGTTGGCGGCAGGGGGTGGAACCGGAGGAGCTTTAAGGTCCCTTCCGACCCAAACCAGCCTCCAAAATGCTGGAAATCACCTTCTCATTTCAGAGAATTTATCCTGTTTCTGTTCTCTGGTATTTTTCAGGGATGCAGGGTGCCAGGGGGCAGCTGCTGTTACAGCCGCTGAGTCTGCTGGGTACTGCTGCACAATCCAAGCCTAGGCTGAGGCACTCTATGGGATTGGAAAGAAGACACCCACAAAAAGAGGCATTTAAAATCAAAATCAATATTCTGAGCTGGGGCCCTAAGGAGTCACTGAGACTGCAGCTGCTGGTGGATCCTGGGGAGCTGCTAAAATGGAAACTGCTGCGGGCCAGGTCCTTGCAATGCTCTGGCCATTGCTGATGTGGTGCCAGCCGAGCTGGCAGCGCTAGGCAGGAAGGAAACACCCAACACTTGGCACCTCCTTTGGAGCTTGTATCCGAGGGGCCAGAGGCTGAGCGAGCACAGGCACGATGCGCTTTGTCATCCCGGAGCGCGCTGTCAGGGTCAGGGATGGGACGGCTGCTCCGGGATATTTCTGGTTGGAGAACAAGGAGATTGGGCCAATTTTCCAGCCATGTGAATTCCTGAGAGCTTAAACCAGGGGGAACAAATCAAACAGCAGAACAGTTGGGATATGCGTTTTCCAAAAGCTGTTTCAGAGGGGTTTGTGTGGGGAAAATCAGGATGCACAGCACATATAAAACGCCAGATCCCCCTTATATGTTAAGGCTAAAGCAGGTGGTTTCAAAATGGTGTGGGCACTGCTGGGGAATATCAGCTACCTGAAATCTGAGCTGGGTCTTACCCACTTTCATCCTCAGCGTGTCTTCAGCCATTTGATGTTCTTACAGCTCTGATGTGTCTCTTCTGTGTACCTGTGGTGTGGAGCCTTATAAAAGCAAGCAGCAGCTCCAGACACAGGAGACTGAGCTCAGCCCTTTGCAGGATTAACTTCACCATGGAGGGGTGAATTCTGTGTTTCTTTAAATAGCTTCATCTTTTGGCAGTGCAAGAACAAGGAGCTGGAACTGCTGCTGGATCCCAAGGGCTGCAGAGCTGCCCAATGCACCCAGAGCAAGGGCTCAGTGTGAGCACAAATGGCATCACTTACACAATGATTGGGGATTGCAGAGCTCAGCTGCAGAGAGTGATGGATGGGAAGCTGTAAAGGGGCTGTGGGAAGCAGAAAGGTAGGAGGCAGAGCAGTTGGGTCCTTAATGGAGCCAGGCCATGGTTGTGTTCTCACTTGATGAATGCATCCACGACTGCTCTTTAGAAGACGTCCTTTAATGACTGCTGACAGCAAATGGTGAGTGCACTGTGCTGCTGGGGATGGGGGTCACAACTGCAAAGGGCAGGTGCCTGCTGGGTCCCACCAGAGAGAGAAAGCCCAGCGTACCTGTGTGCTGCAGACACTGATGCCGTGTTTGACCTCGGCCCTGGCCTTACCCGGTGTTCCCTTTCCACTGTCGTTCTCTTTGTGTTCTGCAGATGTGGGAGCTTGTCAGAGAGGGGACCGTGTTTGTTACGTTAATTCCTTTTCTAAGCTCTTTATCTTGGATGTTTGAGGACGGATCTTGAGCTGGTGGCCTTAAAGTTATAAGAAAAGGGTATTTTAAACCTGGTCCCTCTTGCTTTGAGTAACCCTTGAAAGGAGGAGAGGTTGGGGGGGTGTTAACTTCCTTAGGGCACTAGAAAAGAGCTGCCTTTTAACCTCAGTGCCTCCCCTTCCTTAAGCAGCAGTGGCCAGCAGAAGCAAGCCAGTGGCGGGGATAGGGTCCATCTGGTTCAATGGTGGAGCACAGTCACACAAGCCGGGGGTTCTAACACAATTCAGGTGCTC